ATTATTCTATCGATTTGATTTGATTTTTTTCCAAGAAACCTATCATTGATATTTATATAGGGCATTTTTACGTCATCCCGGTAGGTATAGAGGAAATCCCAGCTAACTAGTTGTAAGGCACGCAGACTTATGTAAACATATGCTCACTTAGTAATAAACAGTACTTTAGTGCAAATAACACACGTTGTTCTATATTCCTCAATTTATAATAAGCCAAAAGGTGTTATTCATTGTTTTGGTTCATTTTTATAGTGATGGCCAACCAAGACGTGAAAGAAATAAATACGGCTATTCTACGTACCCAGTATGGATGAATCACGTTTATTGTAATGGTACAGAGGAACACCTGGCAAACTGCTCATTTAGTGGATGGGCATTTTCGGATTCATGCTATTTTCCAGCTGGTGTTTTCTGTTATAACATCACAGGTATGTATTTCTCAACCACAAAATGCCCGTATGTTATTTCGGAAGACTTGACCATTAGTTGTAAAGTGTTAATTGCTTTTTAATAATTCCGATACAAGATGTAAACCAACAAAATATATTGCCAGTTTCAAGGATGCTTTCGATTACATTTACTTTTTCACACTCGCCCAACTACAACACTGAAAACACTGAAGCCTTATATTAAGGGTTTCATGATGCAAATATCATAACACATTAGATTCCAGTGACATTGCTGTCAGACTGGAGGGCGGACCAGACACCAATGTCGGACGGGTGGCGGTGTTCTATAGTGGTATGTGGGGAGCAGTGTGTGCCGATCCCAACTGGGCTGACAAGGAGGCAATTGTCACCTGCAGAATGCTTGGACACAGGTAAACATATACACGTGCCTGATGCAAAGCACTCACACGAACGATGCATCAAGTGTACATATACTTTATGAATACAAAAACTCAATTTCAAGCTAGAGCGGGATAAATGAATATGCGTATGAGGTTCAATTATACACACGGATGACATTAAAGAGAAGAATAACAGGAGAATACCGAAAGGTTACCAAAGCCGTAAATCGAACACGAAATTGATGAACTAGAGCAAAAGGTAAACAAAAGAATGCTTTACACGGAGGCCCTTGATAAGTACAAAGACATTAGAACCAAGGTGATAAAGAAAGGAATTGTCTTCGGCTTTATAGAGGAAACCGGACACGACAATATAATGGTATTTCGAGTAACGCCATATTCCGTCAAATAAATAACTGTTTATGATTATAACGAGCATAGAAAGCGAATAAATTGCCACCAACAAAACCTACCAATAGTGTGTATCCGCATGCTTCGTTTCAAACCCTGTAGTGACACTTGTTTCTCGGTATTCAGCATTAACATCACGGAGATGTGTCATTCGAAGCAAGGGCATACCAATTGAAAATCTCTAGCCGGAGGAGCTTTATAATTTATCGGCATTATTCTATCGATTTGATTTGATTTTTTTCCAAGAAACCTATCATTGATATTTATATAGGGCATTTTTACGTTATCCCGGTAAGTATAGGGGAAATCCCAGCTTACTAGTTGTAAGGCACGCAGACTTATGTAAACATATGCCCACTTAGTAATAATCAGTACTTTAGTGCAAATAACACACGTTGTT